TCTTTTGCAGGTTCATGCAGTGGTGTAGGATATCTTCTCACACCAGTTTGCAAGTACTCTCTTGTTTCTTTACTTTTTCCCATTTTAATCCTACTGCTTTTCCATTTGGAATGTTTTTTATTTACTTGTTTCCATTCTTTTTTCTTAAATTAATAAATTACATTCTGTTTTGATTCTGTGGTTAGGTTAATCATATTCATGCTAATCACGTGCGCATAAATTAAAATGGCGTCAAACCACAAACCCACGCGGTGTCTGCAGCTGGATAAAAGCCGTTAGGGAGAGATTGTTACCATCCCGTAAATGTCCGTAAAACAAGTTTGTGCGCATGCGCATCACAAAAACTAAGTTCCATTTTGCACTGATGCGGCATCAGTGCAAAATGGAACTTAGTTTTTGTCAAGACTGCTCTAGGGACTTTTAAAGCCTGAGACTCTCTAAAATAAAAAAAAACTAAACCCTAAACCAACTAGGGGGCTCCTAAATTGAGTAGGGACGCTCTAAAAAAAAAACCGCCACCCTAACCCCTAAACCCTACAAACAATAGCTAAGTCCAAAAAACAATAGCTAACTAGGGGACTCCTAACATAACTAGGGGAGAAGGCTAAGTAGAAAAGGTAAAAAGTTAAATTTTGAAAGTAAAAAAAAAAAGAAAAGCAATTTGCCCTGAGCTGGATTCGAACCAGTACCACGTCCACATTCTGCCCCACGCCTTCCCCACTGAGCCACCACCACGATCCTGCTGCTTCAACCACACTGATTGTAGTATCTATACTTAATTTCTATATTGTAAAAGGTAGTATACTGGGGCGAAGCCCCAGTATAGTACACAGGCGAAGCCTGTAAAAGTCCGTTGACGGATAGTTTAGTTTACGGAATGGTAACAATCTCTCCCTAATGGCTAGTCAGCTAAGCTAAGATTTTGACTTCCATTTTGTTCTCTCCTTGCTTCTTTTTGAATCCACCTTTGTGGTCCTTGACCCAAGCACGAAGGAATGATGTAAAAGCCAACTGGAGCGGTTCTCTGGTTTAAAAGATTAGAGGGGCCATAGAAGAAGGTGAAAGAAAGAAGAACTTGAAAGTCTGAAGAATTTTGCAGAAATTTGAATTTGGGCCTATTCTTCAAAAAAGCTCTCGCTACATTACAGTCCACTTTAAAGGTACCAGGAGAATCGCTCAGTGAAGGAGAGCTCATCTAAGCCATTTATAAGGCTGTACAACATAAGATAAAAGAGTTATAAGTGTTTGAAAATCATAAAAACGGTCGCCATCTTGAAAAACCAACCTCAATCCTACATATAGGCTACCGCCTATATAATAGTATCTATGCTTAAGGCCACTATTATTTGCGAGTACTAATTTTTTTGCGTTTTTTGCGAGTGGCTTTAAAATCGCAAAAATTAGTACTCGCGTTTATTAATAATTTACGTTTATTAATAGTTATTAATGGACCTTTTGCACTTAAGCGATTCTAATTAACGCGCCACCAAAGTGGTGGTAAAATGGCGGATTTTTGGAGGAAAGACAGGCTGAAGAATCTTCTCTTTTATCCAGCCATTCTAGCTGTAGGAGCCGCTTTGAACTGTCCTTTTGTTTCAGTATACTCTATTTATCTCTTCTGTAAGCTCTTTGGTTGCTGTTTTGGCTTTTATAGCATTTTATCATAGGAACATTCTCACCCATTGGCAATTCCCGTTTTTCTAAATTTTGCTTTCAGGAGCCAAGGCGCTTGCCCCTCCATTGCCATGAAGACAGAAGTGTATTCAGCTGAGTCCTATGACTAGTGTCTATCATCAGAGTTAGACTCAGTCATCAGAACCAGGTACGGAGGAATAACTCACTCAGTTGTCATGTTGCAGCTGGAGTGTAGATGATTATGAGCATCTTTTCACTTCTT